GTTTCTTTGCAGTAGGTGATTTTTGGAATAAGAGTAATTTCAGACTTTGGCTAGAAACTCTGAATGATTTCAGAACGCAGGCAGTTGTCAAATGAATTGCACAGCGGGCTGCCCGGCTCGGTTACGAAACTAACACTTTAGCCGTGACCTTGTCTCGCCAGGGCGCGCTGTTGGATTTCAGGGAGTCGAGAACACGCGAACTTCAAACTCATCAGAAGTTATTAAAAGATCTGGAATAGCACTGGCTAGCAGATTCCTGTAGTAGGAAAACGTCTCTGCCGGAAAGAAATGACATTCAAAACGAAGAACGAATTCATTTAGGCCCCGGAGGTCGTCGCTAGGTTGTCTACATGAATTTTTACGTCCACTGTACCGACGCTTCGCTACCCAGAGCTCCGTGGACATTTTCTGATCGAATATATCCTTGAAGTGTAGCCTGTGAATATTCTGGATGCTCCTTCCGGATCTCACGCTAAAGACAGACGAAGTTTATGTAGGAGCCAATAGCCTCCACCCGGTCGCCCAGTGGCGGATCCAAGAAACATGCACTAGCCTGTTGTTGCGAAGATGTTTTTCATTTCTTGAACTTCTACAGGGCGGGAAAGACTCCGTTCCAGGTGAAGAACTATAAGACCCTCCCCCCCCATTTTACTGTAAGTCTTCGTAATTGGACTAATGGTGCAATGATCAGAATCAGCAATCGGCGGAATCAATGTCTGACCCCAAACGCAGTTCGTGCACCGGTCATTACGCAGTTGAGATTGGCTGACAAGCCAGTAGGGAAACTGAGAATGCTGGACAATCCGTATGGCCTATCAGATGCCTTGTAATGTCTGTTAAAACAGCCAGCGACTACCAACAAAGACACGCAACCTGGTGCGATGTAAGCACCGGATCAGAATCTCGGTCGAGTCATTGTGTATTGCAGCAGAAACCAGCACTGGATGCACCTCTTTAGAGTGATTCAATTGGCTACACTCTCACGCGATACTTAGATTTGGAGTACCTACCTGCTCTGTACAATATATAGTTGCCAAAGACGAAAACCTCGCTGTCAACAACTGTATGAAACCAACCACGATTCTTGGTCAACGACAGCACAGGAAGAGGGGGCAAGAAGAGGTTTCAATCCCGGATGGATATTTGCAAAGATTACGGAGAAAGGTCTGGTTTTCTGGTTTTTCGTAGTTTTCGAAGCTTTCAGCCAGCTGCCGGATGCTCCTCGAAATCGACGGTGTTCACTGAGGATGCCAACTTTCGCAAAGGAACACTTAGTTGTTTTCTGTTGATGCTTCGCAGTTGCAGCATGTCGTACGGAGAAGCGGTCATCACGGGACAATCTCCTGATTGCCATGATCACGTGCGATTACATAATAATTGCAGACAAAACAAACAAGACCATAATGAGCACAAAAAATAGCATGAAAAATGTAGCAGCAATTATACGATAATAACAATTCTCAGGATGTCAAAGTAAAATGCCGACGGATGGCATCGAACAGTGACATGCACAACGTCAAATGCAATAATCAGCACCAAGTTTGACCCAACTCCGATGTTTCCGGTCGAGAACAGAGGAAAGTTGAAGACCGTGGCGAGGTCTCCAGCAAAATTTAGCCACCTGCCACTCATGGTATAGCCGTTATGCCGCCGCGATCATCGCCCGGGTTACTAAAGACAGCGAAGGGCTATTTAG